TTTCATCGTAATCGGTCAATTCGTTATCGTTATCAAGATATCGTGCTAACGGACAGACGGACAGACACCGCAAAATTATAAACTCGCTAGGATTTATAATTTGCGCTAAGTTAACTTGAGCGCTAGGTCTACAGAACAGAAAACATCAAATTTTTACCCGAAAAGACAAAATGGTGGTGCCCCCTCCCCCCACACTATTGGAGGGTGATGGCAGCTATAAAATTTGTGGCGCTAGCTGGCGCTAGGCCAGCAGAACACAAAACGTCAAAATTTTACCCGAAAAAACAAAATGGTGGTGCTAGGAAAAATTGCTCCCCTCACTATTGGGGGGTGGCGCTAGCTCTAAAATTTGTGGCGCTAGCTGGCGCTAGGTCTGACGAACACAGCGCTTGCTTTTGGAAATGATCGAACGCAATGGTGGTGCTAGCGTTAACATAGCACCCCCCGAAAATCAAGGGCTTTTCTGCAAAATCTATAATGGCGCTAGCTGAACTCAAAGTGGCGCTAGCTGGCGCTAGCCATAGTGATTCTAGCGCAATCTGTCTTTAGTCAAAAATTTGAAATGGTGGTGCTAAGTTAACGGAGCCTGGTAAATGGTACATTGGAATGTTTTGAAAAGGGTCAATACAATGTCGCCGCCTTCATCGACTTATCAAAAGCTTTTGATCGCGTATGTCATGAGATCCTACTACACAAGCTGAAGCATCGTTACAATTTTAGTGAAACAAGTTGCATGCTAATTGAGTCATATTTGAAGAATAGGTCTCAATATGTATTATGCAACAACTCTCTATCGCAACGATCTATTGTGAACGTCGGAGTACCACAGGGGTCCATTCTGGGACCTTTGTTATTCCTCGTGTACATAAATGACATGCCGGAGAGTCTACCGCCAAAGATCGACTGCATACTATACGCAGATGATACGACGCTAATAGCAAATGGAAGCAATCCGGAGGAGGCACGGGAAATTGTCAATGACGGGATGCTGCACATCGAGAGCTGGTGTGCGAGAAACCACCTAAAATTAAACACTCAAAAGACCTCAGTTGTGTGTCTCAGTTTGAGGAACCAAAGTGTCACATCTAGCAACATGCCGTGTGTTAACTTCCTGAGGTGTCTTGTTGATCGTCGCTTAAACTTTAATCTGCACTGTGATAGTCTTTGTGCGCGAATTAATAAGTCAATTTTCTTACTTAGACGTCTAAATGTTATTTCGTCAACAAAAGTGGTTAAAAACGCCTACTTCGCCCTAATCCACAGTCTATTATCGTATGCTATACTGGCATGGGGAAGTTCTCCCTCATCTAAGCGCATTTTTAAACTACAGCGTAAATCGGTAACAATCGTGGGAAGTCTGAGGTACCGAGAAGATTGTCGCAATGTTTTTAAAGAACATAAAATACTAACCCTTCCTAGTGTTTACATACTTGAAGCTTTATGTTATGCAAAGAACGAAGGAGAACTTATAAGACCATTTAACGTCCACCAACACCACACTAGACGAAAAGATCTCGTTAGACGTCCATTTTCTCGCCTTGCTGTAACTCAAAACGGTGTACTTTATAAATCAAAGTGCTTGTTCAATACTGTGCCCCAAAATGTCAGACAATTGCCGTATAACAACTTCAGACACAGGTTAAAATCATTTTTAGTGACACATGTGTTTTATTCGCTTGAAGAATTCGTTGAGTTTAGTCACCTGATCTCTTAATTTTACATTTTGTTTTTTTTATAATCGTGTCATTTTAATTCTGCAATTGTGTCTTGTTTGTCTCTTATATGTAGGTGTATAGTGTCTTATATTATTTATGTTAAATTTATATACAAACCCTGACAAGTGTAAAGACTGTACGGTCTCGCAGCACAATAAATCAATCAATCAATCAATTATCACTGGCGACGCTACTAGTATCTGCTTTACTGTTGCTACCATGGCAACCTATGCATGTTGTATAGCGCTCGTGTCAAATTTGAAAGGTTAAATAAGTTCTAGTCCTCCTATTGGCAGAATTTTTGCTGCATTCTTTACAATTGAAACATCCACTAATAAGAAGTAAGGTGGTAATAACTTCATAGATCATAAAAATTCATTGAATATGAGTTCAACTTCACAGACGACGTATATTGACAGAGGAAAAAAATGTAATGACCTAAAATAAAATGATGAATGAAGATTGTTTTCCTGGTATAGCTCTTTAATTGCATCACTGTTTCAGGCGCTGGAAGTATCTTAGGAGTTTCCGATATAACAGACAACCGTCACATATGGCGGATGCTGTTGGCCGAATTCCTAGGAACATTCATACTGGTCTACATTGGATGCGGATCAGTCATTTCTACGGATAATCCAACACACACTCAGATTTCACTGACATTTGGATTGACCGTGGCAACCTTGGCGCAGGTATGTTATTATAAATGTAATATCAGTTTAGTGGGATAATAACGGTGCAATTAGCATCTAAGCGATAAATAAGAAGATTATCAAACGTGTACCGAATGTAAATTTGTTTAATTACTATGAGTAATGTTCGCAAAAATCTCACCTACAGATGTTGGAGCATAATATTTAGTTATGCTAATGCGATTACTAGGTAAATAACCGTTGAAAATTTTTATAAATTATGCAAGCTTTAATTATGTAAATAGTGTTATCTTTTTGTTCTGGTATGGTTTTGGCAATCATGTTCTTATTTTCCCCAATTACTTCTTAAATAATTGCGACAAGTTAGTGTAAAATTTTAATTGCTAGTAACTTTTAGATAAAAAAAACATTAAAATACGCCCGAATAATGGATCAGATTACATTGTGACTTGTACTTTTACTTTCTCCATAAACTTCTAACATAGAAACATACAGGTTGACTAACCGTAAAATTTAGATAGAAATGCAGTTATTAACACGAGATGTAAACAATTTATGGTTTAGGTGGAAGAATGTGTTACAACTGTGCATTGTGGCACATGGCACTGTGAAAGTATAAATTCGAATGACAAGGTTTTCATAAACAACGATTCAAAACACCCATACGCCACGCTTGAAAATTGTAAACAAAGAACCAAAATAATTCGGTCAATGATCAAATAAGGGTAAATAACACTATATTAAATTTCATCTACCACAAATGTCAATTAAGGGTGTTTTGTGCATTCCGCAGTAGCACCACCTCTGGTCAAAAGCTCTTTTTTTTCTTAATTTTGGAACCATACTTTCCAATGAATAGAGGGATATTTTCTCATTTTTGGACATGGCTCCCTAACAGGTAATAAAGTTAGTGGCCTAATTTTACCATTATTTATAAACTTGCTGTAGTCTCACCTCTCTTCCTCTTGTCATGTTTGTTGTTCACGTTACATTACACTTACACTTTTCACCAGGAAATGTCAAGGTCGTTACCAACTTTTGGGGCATCAATATTGAACTCTGTGGGGAAATTTTATAACTCACTCCTCTTCCCCAATCTTCACAATTCTCAAACAAATCCTACTTAATGGGGAAGCGCTCCATCCTGTTGAAACCGTTTTCGCTGACTAGCACAATTTCTCCAAAGTTCTCCAAAGATGCTGTCCCATGTATTTAAATGTTGCTGTAAGACATTGACACCCGATTTTAGTACAGATTGTTATGCCGACTTCTACAATTTTCAAGATACTTAGTTCGTTCTTTTTGAACTTTCAACTTTCTTATTTATGGAAATTTTTTAAAATTTGAAATTTTAACCAAGGCAAGCATATTGCATATTTTAAACATCAGGTGCGCGCATGCATAGACTGCGCAATGTCAACTTTCTTATTTATAAGAATATTTATATGCCTTAACTTATTTTCCTCTGTACACATAAATAGTCCGTTATATGACCTTTCGGAAAGTACTGATCAATTCATGGAAAATGCGCTAAACTTAGTCTCCTTTTTTTCCATTTCTAGCGTTAACACAACGAAGTTTATGCGTACTCTTATTCTAACAATTACAGTTACAAATGAGATTAATCTGAGGTTAAAATCAAACCCTTAATAAAGATAAAATAGTATACCTCTACACCCCTTCCCCTGTTCTGAAACCGAACCGTTCACTATCTTGGAAAAAGCTCTACTTTTTATAGATTCTTTCAGTTGACTTTTTACATAAATCCACACATTTATGGCAATGGCGGCAATCGTAGGCCGATATTTCCTATAGTAATTTTGGGAGACTTCTTACTGGAAAGGCTGATGGCCGTTTGCACCGACAAATTTAAGCAGAGCTTAGCTTAAGCGTAGCTTAAAATCCATGGTAACGATTATTGAGACAATGGTTGCCATGGATTTTAAGCTATGCTTAAGCTAAGCTCCGCTTAAATTTGTCGGTGCAAACGGCCATGAAAGGGGCAAATGCTTCCGAGCTGCAGAAGCGGGAAAAGCACCTAGCGCAGACGAGGTTGAATGAGGATAGTAAGAAGAGGAAAGAAGAGTGGTTTGAGGTGTTTTAGGAGAAGCAAGAAAGTCACTGGAACAAAGCAAAATGGAGGAAATAGAGGGTGGAGTTACAGTCAACTGAGGGGAGAGGAAACAGAACGGAAAAAGTATTGGAAACATTGAAGTTAAGGATGAAATATGAAGGACAGCCAAGGAGACCAATAGGCAAATTGAAAATATAAACGGGAATATGACTGAGGAAATGAGAGAATGGTGGAGTAATAAGATAAGGAAAAAGAAGAACTTATAAGACGAATCTGTGCCAATTGGCAAAATAAATATATATTTATCTATATAGCGTGGCATCGGTTTCTAAAACGAACGCAGAACAAATATGACATAGATTTTGTTGTAGATAGATTGAATAATAGGGATTGGCACCCGCTTCCAAAAGCGCCCTTTCTTTATTTACACTACTAAGTGAAATAGATGTTTTTTGTACTGACAGACTACGTTTGTGAAGAGTTTTAGTAGCAAAAAGCTCCCCCCAAAGATTTACAAATACAGCTTTGACTAGCATTCACGTAGTATACTGTATGTCCAAGATAAGAATTAACAGCATGGGGAAATCGGAAACCATAAGAGATACACAATCGTATTTTAGGGCTTAGTAAAATTCGGTCAGTTTCGAATATATTAAAAAAAATCCGAAATTAACCGTATTTGAAAAGATTTCAAAAAACAAATCATACTTTTTAAGCTCTGCAAGAGGGTGCCCACAGATTTTCACTGCGACGTTTCGTCTCTGAGAAACCATCATCAACTTCATATTTTTGTATGTAGAGCTTTAAAAGTTCCTATGCGGAAGTGTTATTTGGATTTTGATATGTTGGCAAACAGGGTCAGAAAAAAATCAGAACGAATATGATTAATTTCCATTTTTTTCGAATAGCTTCGGAACTGATCGGAATTTCCGAATTTTTAAAACATCATTTGCTCATTCTTATCTTGGACACACTGTATATAGAAGTGGTTTGGTTTGTTTCATTCCTGGTATTAAAAGTAACATGGAAATTACAACCCCGAAATTTTCACCAATATTGTCCCAGACATTTAACCACTAAGAGGAAAAGAAAATATGAATTTCATTTTGGGAAACGGTGTACATACACCACAAATCAATTGAAATTCTTCAACGGTAAATGCAGTAACAAAAACAATCTCTTTACGTACAGATTTTGGGAACGTTTAGCCAGAATCAGGCACAATTTATCCAAGGAGAATTGATTTTATCAGCTGCCAGTTGATCAGTTCGCTTGGGCCACTTCTTTGTTCGTTTGTTCCGTTAAGAAAACAACTTTACTTGACTTCTGAAACAAGCTTATAAATTTTGGACGAGATTAAGATTTTCATAGTTCGTCTCAAGTTTTGAAGACCAATGGCTGTCATCCAATTGAATAGAGATTTCGGCTTTTGTAAAAAATTTTAAAAGTAAAGATATTTATTTCGCGAAACTTTTAGTTGTTTAGGAGGGAAATATGACGTAATTAATTTATGACTAATTGTATAAAATTATATCGTTTAAATGCAAGATTAATATAGAACATTAAATAAAAACAATAAACTATACCACTTTAATGCAGCTTAGAACCAACCATAAAATTTACGATTATTATGCTCATTTCATAAGTAAACTACATCTAAACGCTTTATTTTTAGAACGCACCTTTTAAACGTATACCCAGACACTATTAATGAATGCATTTTTTTCTAATTCAAATTGCAAATCATATTTGCCAGACATGAAAATTTGTCTATGGCGCTAAAAACCAATCAGTTCGTGTAGGAATCGTAAAAATGTATCCGTGCATACTTATTATGGGAAAATAATTAGTCGTGATGCATTTGAGTACACAATTGCGACTGGAAATATAAATGTTGCACGTTTCTAGAATATTAATAAGCAGTTTTATACATTTAATAAGTTATTTTTAAGGATAGTATAATTATTGATTAAAATTACCCTTAATAATGCGTTGAATGAAAATGTTATAATGACAGACTCATCGGTTATTAATTATGACATAATTACTTGTCGGCTTTTTTGGGATTAAAAACTGAAATCGTTCGCAGATTTCTGAACTTTTAATTATTATTGTTTCTGACGAAATATGTAACGCGTACGTATTTGCCAATAACAGTCCTTCTCCTTTCCAAAATGTAATCTCCTGTTACGTCGCGATTTATGTGAGTATTCAGATTAATGATATATTAATTCAGTTCTGTCATCTAATTAATTACAAATTTATAACTTTTAATTAAATGGAGGAAGAGGTATCAGCAGTTTCTATTAGTAATTTGTGTATCTTTTAAATTAATTCATTGCGTTTCTGTTTATTTCATAAGCCGTTGGCTTAGTACAAAATTAGGAGCATCATAGGCAATGAAAGTGATAGTCCTTGAGTCAAAGATGTTTTGATTTTCATGTAGGTACCGTTCTGCTACTTAAGTACCTAATTAGCACATAATTATTCGCGGTACTCGTACTCATGTGTTTGCGTTACTCGATTTCGCCTCGTTCTGTACTAAACGTCGAGGCAATCCATTCGGAAGCATTTTTATCGAAATCTATTGATTTTGATTGATTATTTGTTTTTCCATCAACTGTGTAAGATGCCGGTACATTTGGATACCGACGATTTTTTAAACTCAAATTATTTTAAATGATTATCAGCGTTCGCGTTGGGCACTACCGTATTGAGGTCGACGTTACGCACGATTTTATCGAAGAGTCGTTCAAAGCACCTAATCGCTATCTTAGTGTAATCACTGTTAATAGCTACTAATTTCTAAATTAAATTGTCGATGTTAATTCTAGTACCATTGACACAAACGTGCAATTACAATAAATTGATGGGAAAAAATGGCATCTCATTATGGTTAGAATGAGTATCGAATTTGACGAAATTACATAGTAATGCATAGCACAGAAACCGGTTGTATATGTGT